CCCCTCGTCGTGTCTGCTCTGGACATATGACTGACTGCAAGCACCAGAGTGCCGATCCCCTCGCTTCTGTTTATACACACATTTGAGGAACAAACACATAAGTCACATGCTCAGACTTGTTCTGCTAAAACCAGCGGCTTGAGTTTATGCAACATTCCTGGACGTTGAGAAATTGTGTCCTTCTGTCAACATTTTCTGTGTAAAAGGAAGAGAGCGGTACAGCTCATCCTAACATTCTGGTTTAAAAAGGCAAATTGAGGAAATCTACAGGAAGGCCCTTACTGACTTACATGTGTATTTAGTATATATATACACTAAATGTAGGATAGAAGGCCAGTTTTACAAGTTTTTACAGGTTGTAGTTGTTTACTTCACAATAATATCACAGGAAGTAAAACAAGGTTTGGTCCCAGTAGCAAATCTACAGCCTTACATCCCATATTGTATCTGTTTGTACCTCCCTAAAAGGTGGATTACTGTGCTGTCATTTCAAAACAAAAACAACTATCTACGTACCTTTAACTCCCTGCTGTACATAACATGGATGTTTAGGATTTAACCTAACCTGGCAGAGAAATAGTCACTTAGGCAGAAACTTGGCAGAGATTGTGGTCCCTTTGTGAGTTTGAATGATACAAGTGAATTCACACCCCACTGTAATCAGATGGGTAATGATCGCTTCCCTCGGAAAGAGTATCAAGTGAGGATCCGTGACTTCTGCTGGCGTGCGGTGGCAGGGAAAACAGAGAAGGCCCATCTATTATTCATGCGGCTTCTCCCCCCCCTCGACTTTAGTGCCAGTGTTGTTGTCAGCGAACAGATACGGAGGGACAGGGTGTGGCGGGTGCAGCCGCCACGCTCCACGGCGTGCCTTTTCTTCCTCGCTCCAACGCCGCCCGTCCCTCTCTCGCCGCAGGGGCGGCGCGGCGCGGCGCGGCTCTCGACCCCCTGAGCTGACTCCCGGCTCTCTTCCCCAGGACATGGAGCTGATCGACATCCTGTGGAAGCAGGACATCGATCTCGGCGCCAGGCGCGAGGTGTTCGACTACAACCACCGTCAGAAGGAGCACGAGCTGCGGAGGCAGCGGGAGCTGGAAGAAGAGAAGAGGCAGCATCTGGTCCGGGAGCGCGAGAAGGCCCTGCTGGCACAGCTGCAGCTCGACGAGGAAACGGGAGAGTACATCCCCCGCCCGCCGGCCGGCGCGCCTCTGGAGGACACACAGGTACAGCGCGTGGCCGTCGTTACTCATGTCGTTAGGGGGACCGATCCCACTTCCTTTGATAGGCTGTGTGGTAGCTAGGTAACCCCTCATCCTGCGTGGTGGGTTTGTAGCTTTGCATCGGTGTTTACTGCTACAGAAGCTACTCTACAGAGACGCCAGTCCTAGAAGTGTGGATGTAGGCGCCGTTTTTCGAAAAAGACGCAAAAGGTGCCGAGGTTTGACATGCACTTGCTCCTGTCCCGCAGAACGTCAACTTCCCAGGGGAAACCGATGATGCCATGTCGTTTGATGAATGTCTGCAGCTGCTGGCGGATACATTTCCTGTGGAAGAAACTGAGGTAATAACATTGAATTGTACATCACAGCCTTCAGCGAGACGTTCAGTTGTATGAGAACTGTCCCGTTCCTGTGTTTGCCTGACAGACCGCCTCAGTTTGCCTGGACACCGCTGCCGTTTCAGCACCCATGATGTCCCCCGAGCAGCCGGGTCTCCCGCCAGCCGCCCTCTCCACAGGTCCACCACTAGCCACGCCGCCAGAGAGGATGTCCCCGGATTTAGAGCAGGCCTGGATGGAGCTTCTGTCCCTCCCTGAGCTGCAGGTATAATAAACGGATTCTACCACATCAACGGCATGGGGTTTTGTGCTGTGGAACAAATACTCAGAGAATGCGTCAATGGGCCGGGGCCCGGCATGGAAGGACAAACGCCTTTTTGTTGCTCTGCGAGAACGGGTTCTCATACATGCGAGACAGGTGCAACGGGCCCATTCAAGTGTGGCTAGCATTTCTGAGACTCATTAGACAATTGGAAAGGTGGGCGTTCAAGAGGCGATGCGCCCTGCAAGATACTCAAGCAGCAGAAGGCCACTTGTTCATAGAGGGTGTAGCATTAAAACCTTTACTTTCTGGCAGCGACGTTTAGATTTGGGCACAGTAGTTTCTGCGTGGGCGCTTTACCGGTGTTGTATTGAGGCAGCTCATATTTGCATTAGCTAATGGGTGGAGCAGTGTGCTTTTGTTACCTTTCCCCGCGGACCGGACTACAAACCTGACCTCGGAGCTTACAGAGCGCTGCATTATTCCACTGCTGATAAGACTTTGAATTGTAGGGAAAAAAAAGGGGGTTGTCGTTAGCTGCTTTCTGAAGATTGTGTAGTCACTTAACATCGCACTGCAAGCATAGAGATTGGTTTTGGTGATTTATGGTCTATTTCAACAACCGCATATTTAGTTGGGTCTGATGCTGAACCCTGATCTGCCAGCATTGGAGGTGAAATACTTGAACAACTTCATGTCTCAAAACCCCTGGAATGAAACCTTTTGGTTTAGATAACAACAGATAAATATGTATGTTGATAAGCCAGTCATGTGTCAAACACACACATGACTGGCTTACGTAGGAGATACGTAGGAGCACATGATATACATGCATCCCTAGCAACACATACAATTCATACGCACATTTTTTATATTCACTCTCGTCTCGGATTTTAAACTTGTGACTAAAATTACGTTCATTGTATTCAATTTAATGGCTCTTTATCTTTTTCTTCTAGCAATGCCTGAGCATGCAAATGGAAGACACACTGGAGACCACCACATACCCGCTCTCAAACAGCCCCGAAGTGCAGAATCCAAACTACCCTTTTTACCCCATGAATGCCACAGACAGGCTAACAAACCCGTTAAATGTCAGTCCGGCACAATTTATGAACACATTCGATGGCTCTCTTCCCAGCTTGGTCTCACCAGACAGTCTTCACCAAGTGAAGGAGAATTCTCCTCAGTTAAATGCTAAATTCAATGCAGAAATCTTCTGCGACATGTTTTACCCCAATGACGTTCTAGACGAGAGCGGCGGTCTTGAAGGAAATGGGAGTAACGCCATGCCAGATATCTCAAACAAGCCTCCCTTCACACCAGTGGACCTTTACAGCCTCTCACCCGACGATGCATTTGACAGAGAAAAAACGAATCTGACCGCGGAGCGGCCCGACTCGGATTCAGGAATCTCTTCAAACACAAGCCCGAACGCGAGTTCGCCTGGCAAGTCTTCGCACGGAGACGAGTCCTTCGGTTTCAGCGATTCAGACATGGAGGAGATGGACGACAACCCTGGAAGCGTCGAGTCCGACTACTCGGACATGTTCTCGCTAAATTTCCAGCCGGATCATCTTCACCAGGCAATTTCTCTATCTGCAAGGATAGGGCAGCCGCAACAGCAGCAGGAAAAGAATCCCAAAGAACACAAGACCGACCCGGACGAGGAGAGCGGCCACAACAGCTCCCCGTTCGCCAAAGACAAGCAGAAGAAACGCTCGGAAAAGCGCCTCTCCAGAGACGAGCAGAGGGCCAAGGCCCTCAAGATCCCCTTCACCGTGGACATGATCATCAACCTGCCCGTCGACGACTTCAACGAGATGATGTCGAAGCATCAGCTGAACGAGGCCCAGCTGGCCCTGGTCAGGGACATACGCCGCCGCGGCAAGAACAAGGTGGCCGCCCAGAACTGCCGCAAGCGCAAGATGGAGAACATAGTGGGTCTGGAGAGCAACCTGGACTCACTGAAGGAGGAGAAGGAGCGCCTGCTGGGCGAGAAGAGCCAGAACGCCACGAGCCTGAAGGAAATGAAGAAGCAACTCAACAGCTTGTACCTGGAGGTCTTCAGCACGCTGCGGGACGAGAAGGGGAGCTCCTACTCGCCCTCCGACTACTCCCTGCAGCAGTCGACCGACGGCAGCGTCTTTCTGGTCCCTCGCGTCAAAAAGACGTTCCTTAAGAGCGAGGACAACCTCCTGTCTCCTTTGTAGTATGGTACCGCGTTATCGTAATAATACTATGCAATAACTTTCTAGTTGTTCAGCTTTAAAGCATTAGTCGCTCTGCAGAACTATTGTATAGTTTTCGCACACTTCTCTTGAATGTTGGAATATTTTTGATATTTAGTTCTTTTGTACTCAGATTCTTTAACCAATATCGTTTGTAAATATAAACATTACTTGCTATTGAGATTGATAACTGTTACTGTATGTGTGTGTATATATTGTATATATATCATATTTCTGATTGTTTCAATCATTGCTACTCCTATTTTATAACTATCCCTGTATGATTTGCTGCCCAAGCTCTTTTTTTTAAAATCCTGACTTGCTTTTCAATAAAGTATCCCTATAGCTATATGGCCTCCTATTTACTGAAAGAACAATGTGTGTACTGCTCTGTACAGCAGGAGATTGATGCCAGATGGATCCATGGGCGCGATTACATAACTTACCACATGTTCAAGTCAGTCGAAGAGCCTTGGTAGCTCCACCAAAGGGCTTACAAAGAAGTAAATAAAAGAAATATTGTACTGAAACAAAAGTGTTAATAGCTTAAACTAGTTTGACAATCTGCTTGCTCTTTGCTAGCGCAAGCTTGTTTGGATATTACCCCAAATCCCTTAATGCTGCACAACTGCCTTTCTGGAAAATAATTCACACGTAGTGCATTTATTGTGTCACACAACAAAGCGTACGCTCAGCGTAAAGTCTACATGACAACTTCACAATGGCCCAACCCAGAGAACTCAAAAGGAGAAGCGCCCACGCGCTCAATAAGGGCCCCAGGTGCTCTTTCACACACACCAGCACCACCTTTGCACACAGAGCCCGTTTCCTGCTCTCACGACAGACCTAATGGGAGGGAGTGGTGGACACCTGTGAAATCAGTTACACATTACGGTTACGTTTTACAAGCAATGCAAGTATTTAACAGCTCAGAAATAAAACACTCAAGTCGTGGAAAATATATTTATTTAAGAGAAGGAGAAGCACTTGACACACACACACACGTTATTGTTTAGGTTACGTGGTTGGACGCAGCTCGGTTCTGTGGGATTGAGGTGGTCCTTAGACATTCCTCTGCAGAAACCCTACCCTTCGACTGATGTAACAGGCTGAAACATAACAGGCACAGCTTCCTCCCTCTTCCTGATGGAGTCCCAGTCTTAACAGAGCGTATGAACACTTTAAAATACAATACGGCAGAGAAGGTAATCATTGACGGACTCGAGGATCATCGTGGTCATTTGACAAGCAGCTATGAGACACGGACATGATCAGAAAGAAGTTCTAAATGTTTTTCTTTTATTAAGCTTTGTTATGTTTAAAACGTACTATGTTAAATTACTTAATTTAAAATTGGCACTGCTTAAAAGAACAGGACTCCAGTCTGGGGTTATTATTTAACTTGGTTTGGACAAAATGTCAGCACTTAAGGAAAAAGCTTTTAGTTTTTGATAAATGATCTATGCCTAAAGTTCTTGGACAAAGTACAAACTAAAAACTCTGTTGTATTCGGTTTGTCAAACTAGTGTTTACGTTAGTTTGTTGACTTTTCCATGAGTTCATATGACTGCCTTTGAAGTAGATTTTTCATAAATATATTTGGTTTTCCTTCTTTGGAAAGATGTTGATGCTTCACATTGCATTTTAACTAGCTTATGCAATTGCACAATAACACATCTTCTTGCATCATACTTATATGGCTTTGCTTTCAGGCTATATGAAAGTTACTTGCGTAAAGTGCGGCTCATTTACGCAGACCGATAAGGACCATATTTGTCTACAGATCAACACTGTATTACATAAGCGATAGCTTGGCATTGGTAAATAAAGTGGCCACTTTGTCATGTAACCCTTGAGAAAGCGAATGCAATTTAAATACAACTGTTCTGCCACTAATAAGTATACTTATTGATGATAATGTCCATTTTTGATACTGGAATATGACCCTTGTGTGACACAGGACAAAAAATGAAAACTTATTTTAATATTTTCTGTTAAAACACCACCGTTGACTAAGATTTATCTCAGTAATAAACATAACATATATATATATATATATATATATATATATAAATAAATATTTTTTAAAAGTTGTAATAGATCGTATTTGTGTGCCTGATAAAATTGCCACTGGGTGTAAACACGGTTTCATTTCTACCCGAGTGTTTCATGACTATCAACGTAATCAAGATGACCTGTATGTAAACACTTTTGGGCTTTCAAGATATTCCAGGCGTTGTGTTTGAGGTCACCGGCTGACTCTGGTCAAAGTGGAGTGACACCGGATGTCATATCGCTTGCTTTCCTTAAAAGAACCCCTGCACCTTGTATGGTCACCGTGTGCACTGTGAGATTACAACATGAGCAGCCTTGGATAATATTTTGAAAAAGTCTTACCCATCCAGAACCTTCCATGTTATCAGGTCTCTACAGATTTTCAGCAAGAAGAGAATGCCTCTTTCCACATCTGCAAATCAAGCAAAGTGGTTACTCTTACCTGTGTCATCTTCTTAAATGAGCCTTTTGTGAAATACTCACTCCCTTTTCTTGTTAATGTCTGAAATCTAGCACTTGCGGGTAAAACCTCGGTATATCTGCCTCAACGGGATCTCCAATGTGTCCAGGAGCTAGTCTTTCTTCGCCAGCATCAGCTGCTGGAGGTCTTTAGCTAGCCTTGAAAGAGACAGACGCTCACTACCAGGAACGACACTGCGAGCTTCCTCCGTGGACGATGTGCTCGATGCTGCCTTCTCCCTTCCCTCTCAAAATGCTGACTGGTCCACTGTGCTGGGGCCGAAGGCGTCCTGTCTGACAGTCATCTGCAATCTTCCACTAGCGATGCTGAGGGCCCAACTGCAGGTGCTTGCGGGTGAAATAATCTTATTATGCTCAACACTGGTATGGGCGGTGCGTGGACCACTGCCCCGGGACTACCCGAAAACTCCCTTTTCATGGACAAGTTAATAAAGTACATACATTATCCTCCCAAGAGGAGGAAGAAGTTGTGCACAGGACTTTCTGCTAAACCTCAGTTACAATATGCAGGTAGTATATCATCAAAAACTCATTTGGACTTCATTGTTCTGAACCAATGACGCACTGAACCTCATGTTACTTTACTACACAATTTTATTCAGTCTTTTTATTCTAATCAAAATACTCGCACAATCTAGTATTCTGTTTTCTGGCAACAAGAAGAGTGACGGATTCCCTTGATTCTAACCCATACTGCTTATGTTTGTTGACACTGGTACTACGAAGGATTTACATACTGTGCTTCACATACAAAATTAAAATACACTTGACACTTGTAATCATAATATCTTCAGAAAGAAAGAAAAACAAAAAAGTAATTCCATCTCTTCTGAGGTCCTGATTTAACTATGCTGTGTGACAAAAACCAGGTTAAAAGACAAAAGAAAATGACCAGAAGGAAACTAACTCATGTAAAAAAATTGTAATTAAAATGTTAACTGACTTCAGATAACAAAAAAGAACAAAAAGACAATTTACTCTTTACCCGTGATACCATAGGCACAATACACAAACTTCAGACTTACAAAAGGAAAAATAGCTGGGTAGAGAAACATCTATCACAATTAGGTGAAGAGTATCATCTGAACTTATGTCTTGTGTTTACAGTCCTTCTTCCATAAACTCCTCAGATTTAGCTGCAGTAATGTCTGACTTTTGTGTTCCTCTAATGCTCTCAGGTGACTGCCTCAAAGTAACCTGCGGCTTTTCCTGACAATTCCTTTCCTTTGCTCACCTCCTCGCCTCTCCTGCTAAGAACTGAAGCCTGTTGAATGGATACAGGATAGAACAAATAGTTATTCTGCACTTTCAAGGGCTCACTCTGTACTGTGCTACGGGGGGTGGTGTGGAACTGAATGCTACTTACCAAAACACGAAATAATTAATATCGCCGTGAGCCGTAGCCACCGCCACCGCCGCCGCCACCACCGGAGCCATAGCCACCTGCGGTTAAGGATTGGTCAATGCGAAACGCGTTGGATATTCTTCAGGGAGAAATGAAGTTATTTCACTGGATGCATAATTTTGGGGGGTAAAACTCACCACCATAGGGTCCTCCGCCACCCGAGTTTCTGCCACCGAAGTTGTTTCCCTTCATGGGTCCATAGTTGCCGGACTGTTGTCCCCCATAATTTCCAAAGTCATTGTAATTCCCACCTCCGCCGTATCCTAAAGATGCAAATATTTAACTCTTGATTTGAGGTGTTTGAGATGTTCATAATGGCTAACATCTAGCACTTGTTTTAGCACACACCATTCTGGATTTTTCTTTTTTTACCTCCATCATTGCCTCCGTAACCTCCATCACAGTTGCCACCATATCCACCTCCGTGGTTGCCATAGCCTGGACCACCACCTCCATAGCCTCCTCGGCCACCTCCATAACTCGGTCCTCCGCCATAATGTCCTCCCGGACCTGTAACAATGAACGATACCAACCTTTAACTTTATTTACAACAGTGACAAGGAACAGCTCATGAGTTGTATTAACATCACTTCACAGACGGTCCCGTTTATGGCCGTTAAATCCACGCATCAGTATTAAATTAACACTGTTTCGTAACAAATCAAAAGCTCACAGTAACTTTACGCAGAACTTGTATAAGCGCTCACCATTGTCATAATCGTCACTGTAACCACCACGTCCTCCACCGTAGTCATCTAAAAAACAAGGGTAAGATTTATTAGGCATTAAAACTGTGACCTATTTGTTCAACACTTGAAACCTTGTGACGGATGACACCGTGTTCACAATGTCTCTTTGTTCTGGCCTTTCTGTCCACCCTAGTAGCATGGATTTTCAGTAGCTTAGGTGGGACAACAAAGGGTCTCGAGCGCATGTTAACAATATGCAAACATCGCAATGCACATCTGCATAGCAGCAATGTTAGAAAAAAATATATTTCTGTTACCTCCAACTCATTTTGAATGTCTGTTGTTTGACAACTTCATGAGGAAGTGAACACCATTACTGTAAACACGTGTTGACCTTTTATCTGACAACAGATCTCAATTGTGAATTTAGCAAAAATAAAACAAAGTGTTCACACCGCATTGGAGCCAGACAGAGCTTATCCGCACCCAGCTCAAGCTGATGTTCCCATTTTACTAGACTGTTATTTGCTTTAAGCCAGAGTTGTTTGCTGACAAAAAAATAAAATAAAAAAAAGAAGAGCCATTTTACTTTCTTTACAGTATCTGTGTGTTTGCTAAACATTCCAATCCTGCACCCCCCGTAGACATGTAAACCATGTTCCTGCATTAGTATGTTGATGTCTAGAAGCACTTTCCGCAAGGATGCAAATACTACTCACCTCGTCCGAAGTTTCCACCCCCCCCGAAATTACTTCCTCGACCCATGAAGTTCCCAGAGCCTCCACTCCTTCCTGAAATGGACAGAGGTGACATTTTAAAGTTGTTTACATCAAATAACTGATTGTAAACAGTGTAAACAAAATGTTTCAGTAAGTATAACTCTACATTCTATGGCGCGCTTACCCCTGGTTGTGGACATGGCACTCATTTCCTGTTTTGAGAGCGCTTTTCTAACCTCACAGTTGTGGAAGTTGATTGTGTGGAATTTCTGGGCTGTAAGAAAAATAAAACACACTGACATACCATACTTAAAGTTTACCAACAGCCTTAACGTGGAGGTATTAACGCATACCAACAATCTTGTCTACGGTGTCATGGTCATCAAAGGAGACAAAGCAGAATCCTCTCTTCTTTCCAGTGGAGCGTTCCTCCATGATGTCAATACACTCAATCTTTCCATATTTCTCAAAATGCTCCCGAATGTGGAACTCCTCCGTGTCCTCCTTGATGCCACCGACAAAGATCTTTTTCACTGTCAGATGGGCGCCTGGTTTGTTGGAGTCCTGAAACAGAGCGGTTCATTGAGCATGCGCATGCATGCGCATACACACACACACACACACACACACACACACACACACACACACACAGGTATCGGCCTTCAGGGCTGGGTTTTGTTTACCTCTCTGGACACGGCCCTCTTGGGTTCTACCACCCGGCCGTCTACTTTATGGGGCCTTGCTTGCATGGCTTCGTCGACTTCCTCCACGCCGGCGTACGTCACGAAGCCAAAGCCTCTGGACCGCTTGCTGTTGGGGTCCCTCATCACCTACAAGCAACGAAACAATACGCAGTGCTAGCACAGTTTGAATGGACTGCAGCTTTGTTAAAATGGCCGTTGTTGTTTATGGGTATCTGGGGCCATTTGGTGACGGATTACAATAGGAATACGTACAACGCAGTCCGTCAGAGTTCCCCATTGTTCGAAATGGGCCCGTAAACTCTCCTCGGTGGTTTCAAAGCTCAGACCTCCAATAAACAGCTTCCTGAGCTGCTCGGGCTCTTTAGCTTCACGGTCCTACAAACAACAACAACAGAAAACAGAACAAGAAAGTATACATCATTTAAGCTGTGAGTAGTGTTACGGGTTAGGAAGCCTACAGCACGGGAAGCGTTAAAACGCACGATATCTGTAGGTGACGTTACGTTACATTTGAGCGTTTATCGTTGTAGCCGATGACTAAGCTAACGTCAACGCCACAACCAGGCTGTCAAATGAACCCAGAGCACGAACACACATTATCGAGGCTGGACGAACCATATTCAATTAACGTTACATGAAAAAATCGCCAAGCCGAGGCCCGTAATCCAGTAACGTTACATGGCAGTAACTTTAGCTGTGACAGCTTTGACAGCTAAGGTTAGCGTTAGCTTACTGCAGCAATGCTGCAGCTTGAGCGTTGTGTAAATTACCAAAATCCACCAATTATCTATCCAACGCTATTATAAAGATGAGTGCGGGTTAAGGCAACCGAACAACAATGCTCATTCAAGTGAAACAACCTAAAAGCTCTCGACTTGTAACACCACCTAGCGTCACTGCAACATTGCAGTAATTCTAACAACCGTTAGCTTAGCTTAGCCGCAGCGTTAGCTACCGCGCTGTGCTGAACCGTGAGCGACGTCAAAGCCACAGCGAGGACACACGTTACAATATAACCGCCGCGATTCCGTCAACATTGTTTCAATTATTTAATATCGCTACCGCATTCCAACAATTAACATTTGCAAGCATCTCACCTCCATTTTGCAGATCCACAGCCTGGGATGTGGGTCGATCACGTGACTAGGAAACGGCTGTAGATGTCGGTCCTTCCGAGATTATAATCATCAAATGCAAAGTACAGCGCGTGAAAGAGACCGTTGTTCATGTGTGCATTTCATCGGGAAGCATTCTGTGTGAATCAAACACTGTTTATTTATTCTTATTCAAACACTGTTTATTTATTCTTACTTTGTGCTTTTTTGCCGTCTGGATTCGTACAATGAAATAAAAAAGAGGAAAATGTTATTTGCGCCATCTACTGGTTAAACTGGGACTCGACTCAAATAAAACATATTTATCCCAAACCAGACTTGAGAGGTCAGAGTTCAGTCCAAAGTGGCTTCGACACCGAATTTAAATGGGACCAAGGTGAGTTCTGTTGATTTGATTTGTGAAATACAAACGCTTTGGGATTCTACAGAACTAAAGTTGCACAATTTGATGCCGTTTAAGGCTCAATAATTGAGACTACTGGGTGTGGATTTACTTGGACGGAAAATGTCAATTGTAAAATGATAAAATGTTTGTGTTGGGTAACTGATCGATTAATACGTTCCTGTTCAGTGTTGGGGATCAAGCCCAAATAACATCGAATACGCAAATATAATATTGGCTTATAGCCAATATTATATTTGCTTATATAAACTTGATTGAAAATGTGGCTAAAGATAAAGTTAAGGCCTTAATTGAGGACAAAAAAGTATATTATTCAAAATCCCAAATGCATTGGAAATTTTTATGTTTCAGAATATTTGAGATGTGAAACTTTCATGTCTTACTAGGTTGAGTGCTCTTGAGCTCTCCATCTAGTTTAGGGAAAGAAGTGCTTTGCGCTGAAATTATTTTTAGTTTATGTTTATTTGATTTAATCCAATTTGGGGAATATGCATATATGGATGTTCAACGTTAAAAAAACAATACAAACAAAACACTACTTTGACTTGAAATTTGATGTACAGTAATCTTCCGCCAGTTGGAGAATTTGGGTATGAGAACCGCTGGGGACTGTGCTGTTTGTGAAGTAGAATGAGCTGTATTTTCAGTTGCTGCTGGGACACAAGACAATAAGACATTTAACTTTATACTGTGTTTGTTTCTCTTTGCAATCATCAGGTGTTTACCGGCATGAGTTTTAAAACTAAACTGCTTGTCTTTACAATTATTCAATGTTGTAACTGTTACAACTGATCCCAAAACTTTGCAGTTAATGTGCATTCACCCCTATAATAGCATTTGGGTCAGTGTTTCCACTTTGTTCTAACAGAGCAATCATTGTTTGTAACTATTGGTTTTCAGGTCAAAGTAGCTTACATTTGCGGTGCAACTACAAATGAACAGTGAGGCGCAGAGTTGACGGTGCATTACATTCTTTTCCTCACGAGTTAAAAAACACTCCACCCGATCTTCAAGGAGGTGCATAAGTGCTACTCAATTCCCTTTGTCTATCTTTGACGGTGGCCTGATCTCAAGCAGCACTCTCAACACTAAACTTACACAAACACGTTCCATCATCAAAAAGTATACAGTATATTGACACAATGTTAAAAATGAAGATGCAATTTCTCAAACCAAGTGGCCTCCGATCGTGGTTACAAGTGTTCCGGATTGTCTAATTCTATCAAGGTGTTATCGTAGAGACGTAGAAACACACAATCTGTGTTTTCGGCTCGAGTCGGATCCCTCTGACGAGAATACTTGATCGGGCGAGCGTGATCTGTGAGCCAAACGCTCACATGACTGTATGACTGTTTTATGGTTTAGACAATGTCCGTCATTAATTTTATTGTTGTGTGTGAGGAAAATAGAGCCCCGATAAAAAGGGTAATGTTCCTGACGCTGTTAATGATGAGTATTTATGATCATTCCATAGTTCAAATTCAAGACAGTCGCGGGTTTGACACCTTTCTTCTACTGCAGTTACTGTATCTGTGAAGAGATAATCGATACCGTAGGCTTATAGGCGTATACATATAGAAATATGAGTAAATCAAATTGCAGTTCATACAGTCGATGTGTCCTCAATCAAACTCCTAATGAGGAATTGGCAACATTGTTCTCAGCATATACAGCAGGTTGCTTTAATTAGAGAAAATGATTGAAAGCTCTAATACTAATATCACATTTATTGTTGTACAAATTTTGATGTAAAACACATCTTTGTCTTTGAAAATTTATCCCAGTTGGACCATTTGAGGACGGTGATGGAATCTCCAGCACTAATGGGCTGTAAATCCGTTTGTCTGCAGTGGATGCATGTTCAGACCACTGGTACACTGAGCGTCTGAGGGCTGCGCGAGCTACTTGTTAAAGTCGAGCAGATGGTTGAGTTATATTCCAAGTGTCACAGAGATTTTTCTTTTATGTGCTTGTATTGGAACAAACAAGAGTTACAACCCAAACAAGCATTTGAATGGTTCACGCAACAAAAACTGCTGTGTGAGAACAAATCAGACGCTCATGATGCTGTAGCTTTGGTAACGTCCACATGTGGTTTTGCGGCACACGCCGCAATATTGATGCAACAAGAGTTGTACATAGTTTCTATACTTCCTAAAAATGCTCAGGTTTGCACTATTTAACTCCAGCCTGACAAAATTCAGCCTCACAGATTGACGGATGCCCCGTGTACAGTACACCTCTTTGCCCCAACCTCAGGACAACTTGTTTGTTTGGTTGTTGATCACAGTCTCTCTGTCTACCTGCCCTACACCCGACAAAATGATACATCACAAGTCCCACACACAGCCAACCGCCAGGGATATTTGCACCCGTGGGGGCCGCTTTGTCCTTTCACTTGGCATTTTAGGAAACAGGTTTTAGTTTTCTTCTGTGTGCCCCAGCTTCTAGAAAATGGAAGTCCAAATGCAATTAGCAGTTCTCTTATCAAATAGAGTGAAAAGCTGATAAAAGTAGTTAATGACACCAATAAAAAAGTCTTGGTTTGATCTGATTTACTGTGTGCAATCTCAGTCTTGATTGTAATTTCTGTTCCGTGACAAATGATTGATATAACGACCCCCTGAAATAGAGGGGGATGACAGCCTGGGGCGGACTAAAAGGCAGCACTTAGCACCACGATTAAATAATTAATACAGGTTGTATACCCATTTTACACCTCCAAATTATGGTTTGCCATATATCTGGGATGCAGCGGCCGAAGAGTACCATGTCAGCAACAATTTCACATACAGTAAATCTCTGTGAGGGAGGAGGCAGAGGCTGCAAATCATCTGTGAGGCGAAGGGATGACATGATAAACCTTTCCCCCCTTTTATTCTTATCAGTTGTTGATTGGGGAAACACACACACAGTTTTACCTTTGCAACAATTTGATTAGATGGATAGGATTACTGCTCTGATTTCACAATGTTGATTGAGGAAGTGATCCAACAGCAGGTGGCACCATATCATAATGCTCCACCCAGGACAACAGTGTCCAGGATTAAAGGTAAAATGTCTGCGGGGTTCCACTCCATTCCTTCCAACGGACACAAAAGTTCCCCTTTTGTGCGAAAAGCCAACTCACATTTTGCCCAATTACAAGATGCTGTGCAAAACAGAGATGCCCCTAACAACATCACCCCTGAAATGAGGCGTCATTGTGACTGATGCCCTTTGTCTCTTCAGCGTCCTCTAGATGGCACCATGCTCCATGAAAAGATTGGCCTTCTATTTTCAAATTATATTGCGTGTAAATTTCGAACAGTATTCGCTGATACTAAATCATTATGTTTCCCTTGTGTCACACGTCTGGCTACTTGATTATCTGCAATCATCTCAAAAACTTAATTGTATTTGTTTCCTTGATTAATGTAATTATGTTGAACACATTTTTATTATACAAATAGTGTACTTTATTAGGGATGCTGTTGCAAGATGATTGATGTATTTACAGCATTGCTTTCAACATTTTGGGATAGTTGCATCTATAACCGGTTTAATTTCTTCTCTCAAGTCATTTGCGTTTACCGTCTCTCATCAGATGTCACTGTAATATTTTCGAGAGCTTTGTCTGTCACCAACCCTCCCCCTCGCTGTCTTTGGCGCCTGTGGTGTTAACGTTGACCTTGTCCTGAGAAAGCGTATTCCGGGCTGCATGACTCCATTGGGGAAGCTCGCCTGCCCCAAGCTGGGTTTGGGTAGACGGACGTACGCAAATGGAAACTCTGAGGAAATGGAGATTCAGAACAGGGAAACCAGAGAGTCAATTTAGTCACTGTCTACTACCTTTTCGCATGCAAGTACAACGCCAATCTCACACGTCGGCGTTGACTAGAATCTCTCTCTGAGGAATTTAAGGAAAGAACAATTCCTAGCATCTGTTTCCTGTTCACTTGCATGGAGGAAACCGGGTGTAAATCACACCAAATATAAATAGAATCAGCATTCAGCTAAAGCTGGTTACAGTGGCCTTGCATTTTGCTTCTTTCTGTCGCTTAAATGTGTGTATCTGCAGTTGGAGTTTAAAATGAAGGGGAGAAATGTGTTTTTTTTTTTATCACATAACAACATGTGAGCAGCATAAAAGATTAAATACAACAGCATATTTCTATGGGGCCAAATCCCACATGTAACTAATTACTAACTAACTAACCATATTTCTACCTTTGCAGATTTTGTTCTTCTATAGTCAGACTACATAATATACACAGAAATGTTAAAACACAGTTTATAGTCTAATCAGATTATGTGGCTGTAGAATTCAAAATCAATTATATTTATTGGAATAGGAAATTAAGAAAATGTAAATATAAGACAATGCTTAGTGTTGATTGTAAAAAGGGTTGTGCAATTTTTCTGAATACTGTATCTCAATAATATGTGTAAATCAGATAAAATAACTCTTTCTACTTTTGCCTCATGTGTTTTTCCTGAAGGGCCCTGTTTTCATGAATGTATGAACATCTATGTTCTCAGTCTTTTAGTCTGATGCATGGAAGCCACCCCACTGAGCACAGACTGTCAGACAAACTGAGGCAAAGCTCTTTTAAATGATCTACAGGTCACAACTCAGTAGGGTATTTTTCTCCTTCTTTACACAGACAGGGGTTTCTCCAAATGCTCTAGAAATAAAGTGTGTTAGGTTCTCTGGTTTGTTGATCCAT